TGTTTTGGCCATAGACACACTTAATGAGGCATTTTAAGAAGTTACTGAATTTTAAAAACGACAGGGAAAATAAATAACATTTATGTTTTATCACGTTCTAATTAAATAATGAGGAAAATTGAATTTAGCCTTTATATACTGATTGATGAAGAGTGCTGTGCTGATTAATGAAGAGTACTTTATGAAGACAGAAGATCATTTTAACATAATTCAGAAATTTAAAGAACTCTAGGCCTGGAATAAATCACAGAACTCATCACACATTCTCCTGACCAAAGAAAAGATGACATTTCTAGCTCCAGAACAACACTTGTGGGGCACAGCTTGCTTGGGGTTGAGTATAATCTACCTGTTACCTCAGCTGTCATTTCTTAGCCTGTGCTACATTTAGGTTACTACTTACATGAAAGTGTCAATAAGGACAAGAGCAAAGAAGGCTATCAATTTAAATTCTGTTCCCAAAAAGTTTGTGACTCGCTATCACATATTGATGTAAATTGATGTAACCCTCTTTCTACCATATCCTTGTCTATAATAAAAATATGGAGCAGCATCAGAAGCAGAATTTGCCTGGAATACATTCAGAACATTGTCTGCCTTTGAAAGTGAATCCCTGACACATTTCAAGCTATATGAGTTATTCATTCATATCTCTCATATTTATTACACTTACAACATGCCATCCTAGTTCAATTTCGAAAATGCCATGCGAAGTAGTGTCAGAAGTCACCCAAAAGTCAAGATGATTTCTGACAACTAGTGTTTTTCTCCTAGTAAGCTTTGTTATATTCCCAAAAACTAAAATGGTTATGACATGATCCGTTCTGAACAGCCATGCTGACTGGTATTTGCCTCCTGGTTATTGTCTAGATGCTTAATGCTTTTTGATTATTTCTTCAGGTTTCCAGGTTATATTGTCTGTCTCAAAATTTCATGTTTCTTCTTTTTAAACCAGTACCACATTTTCACTATCCCCTACAGGACAGTGAATCCTTATAGGAAAACTCCGAAATTATTTCCATTGGCTCTCTACCTAAAATGGAATTTGTAGAGCTCAGCTACTTTGGAATCATTTAAATATAGATTTATGTCTGCTCTCTCTAAGCTAATCCACGTTCTTAAGCCATTATTACTAATGCTAATGGTGTTAATGCAACTCAGCATCACAGTGAACACCAACACGAAGATGACATTAAGAAATTGGAGTTTCTGATTTTGTAGAGCAGTTCACTGGTAATTTCCCCGCCTGAGTGGAAAACTAATTCCTTGGTCACTGTAGGGCCTTTGGAAAATTTTATTACTGAAGATAGCAATTTTGTTTGTCCAAACATGTAAAAATTTTATAGAAAATAAATACCTCTCCATCTTCTACATGCTTGCTCTCTGAGCAGGTTTACGTGAATGTTGAGTTATATTAATGTGTTGTTCTCAGCACATTAACCCATACCACACGGAACAAGAGATGACAGGCAGACATATTTGTGCTAGCACACTTGTAGCTAGCTTGCCTATCTTTGCATTACAGTGCACAGCATCCCCAATTATAATTCAACATAAAGACATCAGACTCAAGTATATTTTTACTGACTTCTTAGAATCATAGAATAGTTAGGGTTGGAAAGGACCTTAAGATCATCTAGTTCCAACCCCCCGCCATGAGCAGGGACACCTCGCACTAAACTATGTTGCCCAAGGCTCTGTCCAACCTGGCCTTGAACACTGCCAGGGTTGGAGCATTCACAACTTCCTTGGGCAACCTATTCCAGTGCTTCACCACCCTCACTGTGAAGAACTTCTTCCTTATATCTAATCTAAACTTCCCCTGTTTAAGTCTAAAGCCATTACCCCTTGTGCTACCACTACAGTCCCTAATGAAGTGTCCCTCCCCAGCATCCTTGTAGGCCCCCTTCAGATACTAGAAGGCTGCTCTGAGGTCTCCACGCAGTCTTCTCTTCTCCAGGCTGAACAGCACCAGCTTTCTCAGCCTCTCTTCATATGGGAGGTGCTCCAGTCCTCTTATCATCCTTGTGGCCCTCCTCTGGACTTGCTCCAGCAGCTCCATGTCCTTTTTATGTTGAGGACACCAGAATTGGACACAATACTCCAAGTGAGGTCTCATGAGAGCAGAGTAGAGGGGCAGGATCACCTCCTCCGACCTGCTGGTCACACTTCTTTTGATGCAGCCCAGGATATGGTTGGTTTCTGGGCTGCAAGCGCACACTGAAGCCGGCTCATGTCAAGCTTCTCATTAACCAGCACCCCCAAGTCCTTCTCCGCAGGGCAAATACTTTAGTTTCCATCTTCTTTAGTTCACTGATCCCCAGTACAATATGCTGAAGGTTAGTATTTGAGTTCTCTGCAGTGACAGTCATGCACAAAGGAAAAAATGTATCTTTGAATTGAATTTTTCCCTTCCATTATACACCATAGCTACCATTTTGAATCAGCCGCTGAAGATAAACCACCAATTATGTTAATATTAACAAAGTAATGAAGCACTATTTTTTTGCTTCCAGTATTTTTTAATCTCTGAAGACCTTTGTGTTTGAAATAATTATGTTATTGGTATTTCTGCTCTAGTTAAAGGCCAATCTACAAAACATGTGAAAAAAGTACTCAGGACTAAAAGAAATTATTAGACTTTAAGTCCCTTTCTAAATATTTGCAGCTTAAAAATGCCTGTTCTACCCACACCTATAGACACACTATGGGGAATTATTTATTTCGAAGAACTAGTACTGTGCATTTGCAATAGGGGTGGGCTGAGTATTATTTTAGTTGATTTCTCCAGACATCAAGGATAATATGTAATATATACTTAAATACAACACTTAAAATGGATATAATGAATCTGAAAAAAGATATTTTTCAAATAATAATTTTCTGAAAAATGCTAAAGAAAGGTTAAGAGGTAAATAGCAAAACATGAACATTACAGAGTATGAGTTTCACACCAAGCAGCTGATGCAAAACTAATGAGCATATAATCCAATTTTGCAGTTTATTCATTTTCTATGAAGCACTGATGCAAAAACAAATACAAAACTATAGTCATTAAATTCACTGAGACAAATTCATTTTTGTAAGCTGTGAAGTACAAAGGATACACGTTATAGGTGAACTTGATTTGCCCCTTTTTCTACAAAACAAAAAGAAAAAAAAAGGCATTTGAAATTATATTAGAGAGCTTCAAAAGAGACCTAGAGAATTTATTGCCCTGATTCGGTGTATCTTAGTGTGTTTGCAATTAGTTTGATGAGAGATTGCGCAGACAAACATGCCTGCACTTACTGTGCACACAAGCAACACATCTAGGTATTTCAGGTGCATCAGGTGATGCATCCATACACTGCAGAGTTGACATGCCTCCAATATACCAGAAATCATTTGTATCTGCAGACTGTAACGCATCCAGTGAGTCTGCAGGGCAAGACCTGGATAAGTGTGTTGAACTCTGGTGCACTTGAAAGGCATCAGATACACTGGGGATTTTAAGGTTTTTGACACATACCAGTGCCCAAAAGATGCCATATTGCAAACGGGCTGTGGGATGGCTATAAATGCAGTACAGAAATCCAGAAAACTTCATTTTCATAGATTTTCAGATGGGAAAAGGAGATATGTCTTGAAAAACCCAGACACATCATAGTCATACTCACTGAGATTTTGTTCTGGACTGTTCTGAAAAGCACTGATTGTATTGCTGAGGGGACAGAAAAACTCCACTATGTCGCAATTCAGTACTACATTATAATTTGATCTCTCTTTCTTTCCCTGGAATTCTGATTAGCTATTTAATGTGGTATGATCTTTGAAAATGTATGATCTCACTTGCATCTATTTTCTGATAGTATTAATGATTCAACCTGATTTACCCATTTTTATTTCTGTATTTTCTGAACTAAATGTTCAATTTTGAATGTAATCCAATATTCTGCTAAATTTAATACAGTAATTCCATGAAGAGATTTTATCTCTCCTAATCATTTATGAATATGCATTAACAGTATCAAAGACAACCAGCAAATTTCGTCAACCAGCTGCCACTATTTTCTAGCTGGGCTTGGAGATTTAAAGAACAGGTGCTTTACATTTTAATAATACATGATCTTAAACTGAAAAATGTTTTTCTAAGAAAATCTTTAAAATAGTGAAGATTGCAGCATTTTCAAGGTATGTGACAAACACGTGTATCAACTGCATTGCTATTTTGCTAAAATCACATGCATGTAAAAATAGACATTTTTCTAAGAAAATATCAAAAAGGTGTTTCAATCTGAAACATAATCCATATTACAAGGCAGTTAGGAATGATATCTTAAAAAAACCAGTATGGGTATTTGTAAGTGGGCCAACCAACACAGTTCTGGAGTGGGAGGAATATTTTTATATTTCCATGAAAAGGCAGAGAAATTAGTTTGTCTTCATTATTTGCATTCAGATTCTAAAGGCTCTACACTGTACTGATTTCATCAGCTTTTAGTTCGGTAATTTGTCTAGAATTATATGGTTCCTTGTCAATTCTCTTCTGATTCATTCCTATTTCGTAATTTAATGTACAAAGTATGAAGAGAAACAAGAGCTAAAGATCTGAAATATCAAAAATTTCATACCAAGATATTTTAGCTATTGGTATGACAGGAAAACAGGTTTATTTTTTGTGTATTCTGTTTGTGAATGATCAGGAGGCTGCATTTATCATGTCAGTGCTGTGCAAACAGCATCAGGAACACAAAACTGATAGGAAGTAGAAAACTCTGTAGTACCACCCAATAAAGTTAGAAAACTCTGTAGCCTCACCTATTACAGTTGACTGCAGCAAACTACAGTTTATGTGCAGATACCAAACAGGTGAAAAAATGGAAGGCAAAGTAAGACCAGGATCTTAAGAGCTTCACAGATTTAAACATTTCTTTACTGCCATTTGAATAAAAATTACATGAAGAATGTAATCAGCATTTCTAATGCTCCACCCATCACACTGCCACTTCCCCTTGCAGGCTGTCAACGACCACCAGCTCACTGCTTGGAATGAACACCAACGGCTCAGATGAATATTTCCAGTCTACAAACCATGCAGAGCAAACATTCCGTAAAATGGAGAACTACCTGCAGCAGAAGCAGCTGTGTGATGTTCTGCTCATAGCTGGAGACCAAAAGATTCCAGCTCACAGGTACATTTCCCAGTACTGCTTACATGGCTTCAAAGCCTGAAATTTCCAAATGCTACTTGAATTTATGCCTGCCCTGTTCAGTTATGAAAGAACAGCTACTATAATTAGGGCATCAACTAACAACAGAATAAATTATGTGATCAACGTTTCATATCCATTATTTGAAATAGAAAGAAATTCAAATATGAACCATTGCTCTTGCCCATCTTCTCTTCTTGCTGCTGTCAAACTACAGCAAGATCAGTGAAAAAAATATGCCCAAAGCAGTCTTATGGGAGAAAATTAATTACTAATTACCCTATTAACTTAGTGTTCACTGCTATAAGATTTGAATCCTATGCTAAAGATGTTTCTATTGCACGCACACAATTTATTAGACAATAACACTGAATTTTATGCTTGCTATTGAGCTTATGAAATGATTTGCAGTCCTCCTATAATGCTTTTATTTCAAGGTTGGTTCTCAGTGCAGTGTCTGATTATTTTGCTGCAATGTTTACTAATGATGTACGTGAAGCAAAACAAGAGGAGATCAAGATGGAGGGAGTAGACCCTGATGCACTGAAAGCTTTGGTGCGCTATGCCTACACAGGTAATTCTTCCTCTATTACCCTTATCACTGTAGAGGAAGATAATATCTATTTACTGCATACATAATCATCACTTCTTCCATTTCATTCTAGTTCGTAAATCATACATATGTGATATAAACTTTTCTCTAGAGAGGATGAATAAACATTACTGGCTTATATAATAACTTATTCTAGAAGATATGCAGAGAAGTTAACATATAAATTCATAGTGGACTTCTGTCTCTAGCTAGGTACAAATTATGTCAGGAATTTTAATGAGAGAAGAACATGTTTTGACTGTTGACTCATGTAGTGACACAGAAGAGTGTACCATGAACCTTCCTGTCATGGGTAGCTAGAGAAATGGTCTGCCTGGGTGGCAGCTACTTGGCTCGCTCAAATGTCTTGAGTAGAAGTAATCAGAGGAAAATAAGAATATGACCCACAAGTAGAGCAACTTTTATAAGGAGAAAGTGCCACCACGTTCTGAAAAAGGCTTAGTTATGTTCTCTTGAAAAACTGTTTTATCATTATGAAATTAAATATTTTACTTTAATACCAGAATGCTGTATATATATTTTTCCGTAATATATTTTCTCCCGTTTTCAACATTTACCCCTGTATTGCTGAATCTGAAATGGTTGAAGCAAAGAACCAAAAATACCAAGCCAGAGAACTGTGAAATCCCTTTCATCTGCTCTATAGTGAAGAGGGGAAAAGCGCTGTAGAACATGATCACTATGGTAGTACATAATACAATTAGAAACACCCAGATCTTTCAAACCTTTTGAAGATTCTGGAACTCTGCACATTTCAGTATTTGGGAAGCCTCTCAATGCAGATGGCAGCTATTCCAGCCAGAGAGGTGAAAGGGAAACCCTTTTCACCCCTACGAAGCTGTGCAGTTCTGTGACAAAAAAAATGCCAGTATCTCAAAAGGAAGTAACAACACTTCACTGACCAGAATAGCAACTTTCTGAATTTATGAACATTGGCTCGTACACTGACCCATCCTCTCAGCTAACTCTTAGTATGAATATCAGTCACTAGGGTCCTTGTCATCTGATGTCCCACACCGGACATCGCTTGTTTGCTTCTGAGTGAAAGAACACAATGTCAATATGGAGACAGGGAGGTTTGAATATGTATCACAGGTATCTATCAGTATTTGTATAGTCTTTTTTACCAAGATCAAAGCAAACACAGACCCCATTATATTCACCATACTGGAATTAACATAACTATTACAAATCTGAGACTACTTTACCTTCTAGGTTAGGCACTTCATAAACCTGGACTTGTATAAAGAGCGATATATTGAGAAGGTTAAGCAATCTGCAACCCAGACCAGAAACATGTTTCTATACACAAAATAGACCCTATTTGTGGGTACAAGCAAAGAGATAAATAGAGGGGCAAGAGGGAATGCTGAGTAACATCTATAATGCAGTGATACTGTGCCACTAAATTAGCATACATTACCCAAGGAAATAAATTAGTATGAGCACAAAGAAGCAGGGCGGTGGGCTGCTTATTATCCACATGTATCTCAACACCATCCCACTCCATTAAATTTCATCTCTTTCAGTTCACTTAATGTACAACCATATGAAAGAACATATATAGAATTACAAAAGCAAACACCAGGCTATAAAACAGCGTAAGTTTGCTTGTGAAATCAGGATTCCCTCTTTGCTTTGAAGCATTATACTGTAATCCTTATTTAGAAGAACATGCACCAATTTTGCTGTATACATTCAGTAAATGCTCTGATTTGTATGGTAAAAAACAAACCCCAAACACTGCCCTATTCTGCACCCTGCCAGCCCTTCCTCATTTCTTGCAGAATTTGGAAGGTATTGTTTAAGTTACAGAGCAAAGAGCACCAGGAAGAGATGGGATTGTGCTAAGGTAAGACTGCTGAAGACTGCCATGGAAAATCAAGTTTTCCTACTGCTTCTGTCACAGGTTTTCATGTGATGATAACCAAACCTCTAAACTGAGTACTACTTTTCTCCTAGATAATGAAATACAAATACGACTTTCAGAGATGAGAGCTATAACTTTCAGAACTGTTTACATATTCTGCTGAAATAAATCAGAAGTGAACTTTGGACAAGAAAACTTTTACAGTTCTACTCTGATGATAATTTTGACTACAATCTCCCAATACCACCCTTCTCCCATCCACCAAGCAGTAAGGATGGAAGAACTTATTTAATTAACACCTTCCGATCTATCTATGAACATAATAAAATTCCCACACCATGTACTAATTTCATTAAAAAATTAAATACACAAGTACATGATGGAAGAAATTGGGTTTCCTGCACACACTGCTGGCATTTCCTAGCTTTTGAAATTGAAGTCCTAGTGTGTAATACAGAATTCTGATAGATATTTTTATGTATTAATATATTAATTTTAGGAAAGGTATTTCTCTAATTATACCTTTTTATTTTTTCTTTTTGACTTTTTTACTTTCTTCAGACAGAATCTGTTAATACTGTTAAAGATCTAAATAAAATCTTCCAATCACTGTACTCAAAACCCACCAAATCCTTCACATGTCAAAACATATATTTATAGAATTCTTCAGCATGAAAGGAAAGTGAATCTGTGAATCACAGGACACTTTAAAGTTTTTCAGAGAAGGAGAAAAACTGGGGAGTGGGAAGCTTTCAAGTAATAAAAATACAAATAAAATGACTGAAAACTATTTTTTTCCCCCCATATGCAAACTACACAGGTATTCTAGAGTTAAAGGAAGACACTATAGAAAGTTTGCTAGCTGCAGCTTGTCTTCTCCAGCTATCCCAGGTTATCGAGGTATGCTGCAACTTCCTCATGAAGCAGCTCCATCCTTCCAATTGCCTGGGGATTCGCTCCTTTGGAGATGCTCAGGGTTGCACAGAGCTCCTGAAGGTGGCACACACATATACTATGGTAAGATGAACAATCTAACTGTTTTTCAATTTTAATGTTAACAGCAAGTGTGAATACTCTCCTGGAAAACACATGGGCTTTGCCAAAGCAGAGCCAGCTGAGCCATGATCAGGGTTGCTGCTCTCTCCAAGACCGATGCAGTGGCTCTGCTCTTCCTATGCTGGGAGGGTCAGTTCTATAAAGTCCCTGATGCATGGGCATCTCCACCCACCTCAGTTTCTGAAGGGAAATTTAAGAGCTGTGACTGTTACAGAAGCATGGGAAGGAGAGAAAAGCATGCTTAGAAAAATAAATACTCACTTTTGTATTTCCCACTTCAGAGTGTTGCCTTTTAGAAGGACTTAGTTACTGAAGTATGCTGTATGATGTATGTGTAACATATCCTTAACATGGCTAATGTCGAGGCAAACAGCAATGACCCATTCTTATGCTTTTGATTCAACTCACAGAAAATTCAAAAGCTGATTTAAAAGTGAGACACACACAAAAAGAGCCAAAATAAAGAACGTATCAGGAAGACTTGGAATGCTAAAAAGAAGCACATCCCTGACTGGTGCATAATCCTCTGGCTTAAAGCAAGAAATGAATATTCAGAGCGTGGGAAACAGAGAAGCAAGATAGCTTGCTGTGAAACCAAATCAAGGGATAAATATTCAGGGCAACAAGATGTGCTATATAGCAACTTTAAACACAAAAAGAAGAGCAACTGCTATAGCTAAGTAAATATAAAAAGAACTACTTGTTAGGATACACATGGCAGTTTTATGTTTGAAATATTAGTGTAGTGTGTCAAAACCAGTTTAGAGACTTCATATGTTGACAGTGTTCCAGCAAGAGTACACTTGAACACTTCCACATGCTGAAATAAATGAGTGGCCTGTGTAGAATGAGGGCACTGGTTGTGCTCCCTCCTGTTGCACTAATGAATGATTTGTCTATCAGCAATCTAGATTCCTTTTATGTTTTAAGGTCTGAAAAAGGGCATTTAAGATAGAGGTTCACTCAGCCTTTATTAACCAGTATACACTATTCTGTACTCAGCTAGAAATCAGGAAATCCCCCTTTCCTCTGAGGCCTCTTTTCTCCCACCAGCTCTAGTACATGGGCATCAACTTTAAGCATTCAAAATTCACAGTCCAGATTTCTGCTAAACTGAAATAAAATCATGTGGTTAGACATATGGTTTTATGATGTCAGATAATAAAAGAGCCTTGTTTATATTTTTTTTAACCTTTCAATTCCTTCAGTCTTCCCCAGCAGTTAAGACTTTTTCTATGTTTAGAACTGTGTGCCACAGATATGGCAGTTGGGTCTTTACGTTCACTCTCTATGTAAAGAGGTCATGGTGAATCAATGAGACTCAGCAGTACTGTGCATACAGGCTTTACACTATGTCTTCCTGAAAATAGCCAGGAGCATTTCCACATCTAGAACCACCTCCCGTTATCTTGTGAGCAACACAGACTGAGAATGTTGCCAAGAAAGAGGACCTTGCATATCATAAAACCACCTACCAGGTTTGCAGCTACTGACTATTTAGAGCCAGAAGAGGAAATCTGCAGCTTTTTCAAATAACCTTAAAGAAAATTTTTTTTTAGCCCTCAAAGTGATATTACAGAACACTTGGGGGAATAAGAGATCATAACAATGTATAAAAAGCCAAGTGTTGTGGAAGAAGATAAATAAAACATTCTGTTTTGTTTCATGCCAAGCTCACCCACTTGAAATGTGTACGTTACGGGAAGACCATAATGTTGTACTGTAAATATAGACCATTCAAATGAACTAGTAGTATTTAAACATTTTGAGAAGATAATCAGCTGTGAACAGCACATCCAGTCAATAAAAGCAGACACAATAGAGACCTTCCCCTTCAATTACTTTAGCCATTGAAGCAAAATATTAACAGTTTCCTGCCTGGTATCTTTTCATGCAGCTAGAGCTTGTTCTGATAAACATCTTGTGCTATATTTGTAAGTACATGTGGACTGGCCTTCCTGTTCCTATTCTCTGATTGTCACAAAATATTAAAGCAGGATACGCATAACAGAGCAAAGTTAACATCTCCTTTAATCACTGATACTTCTATATGTAGATCCTTGGTACTCTTGAAAAAAGTTACACAAAGCTAAGAAACTACTGAAAACAAATAATAAGAACATCAGCTACACTAAAATCTCTCCACATGCCCTATTTCAATCTGATTCCCACATATGATATATTTCTTCCAGGTACACAAATTAACATCTCAAATGCAGACATTAATTCCTATGTGTATTTCTTTGCAAGTAACATAAAACCACAACTCTCTCAACAAAATTTTTTCTTCCTTTAGAGTTAGCACCAGCAAGGATACTTAATATAATTTAATATCAATTCTAATACAGTTGTAACTTGAGTGTGCAACCTATTATTTTTATGAAAAATATTTCTTTGAAAGATTCCAGAGATTTAATATTTGTTGCCATTTCTGGAGCTGGTGAGTTTTATCACAGTAATTAAAGACTGAGAGTCCTTTGCTGGGACAGGTCCAATTTTCTATTGCCCAGAAAGTACTTTTAGAAAAGTGATTTTAATTTCCCTTGCTGGAGACATACAGTCAGCACCTGGCACTGCTCATTGCAAAAGGGTTGGAAGGTTTCAATGTAATTTGCTGAAAACTTTTGAATCCGATTGCTGGAGAAGGTACATACTTTATTTGAATGCCCCTTTGGCATTCTTAAGATACACATTCAATCTAATTGTGGTTTTGTTAAGCAGCAGCGTTAGGATCACACTGGTGGACAAAACTGCCAGTGGCAAATCCCTAAGACAGGACATACTGACAAGAAGCCTGACAAGCACATCTGTAAGCATGGCAGGGTGAAGATGAGCATTATTGTTTGGTTCTGCCAGAGTAAGGCACCAAAGAGGAACCAAAATCTCCCTTAACTGGTAGAATGAGATGCAGTGATCTTTAGAATAAATATTGCATTTCAGTATACTGTAGAAGAGAACAGGAACGAAATACAGGCAAAGACTACATTATCCAAGAAAATGTTATTTCAAGGTGTGAAAATCATCAGTGCATTGAAATCTTTTTTTTTTTCCCCCGTTTAGGACCACTTCACAGAAGTAATAAAAAACCAGGAATTTCTGTTGCTCCCTGCTAACGAAATTGCAAAGCTGCTGTCTAGTGATGACATCAATGTTCCAGATGAAGAAGCCATATTCCAGGCATTAATGATGTGGGTGAGGCATGATTTGCAAAACCGGCAACGAGACCTAGGAATGCTTCTTTCTTACATTAGACTGCCCCTACTTTCCCCCCAGGTAAATGAATGTAAGGGGCTAACAGGAGCTTAACTACTAGCAGAAATGCTTGCCTCAAGCATCATTTAGAGAGAGAGAGTTATGTGAAAAGGTTGTGGGTTTGGCTGCAGTGTTTTGGTGGGGTTTTTTTTGGGTGTGTCCCCCCTTTTTCTTTTAACTGTATAGGAGATACGTATTGGTTGTATTGATGAAAAAAATCCCACCATTCCAGTGTAAATACTAGGCTCAGAATTACCTCTATACAAATGTCAGTCTAATGGTATTACAAAAGTACAGTGTTTATTTTTTTGGGGTAGCAACTGTAGTATTTATTTTTCCTCTAATAACATAGCAACATAGATGCTATGCAAAGATATTTATTCACATTTACCAAACTGCAGGACAGATAAGGCACAATACTTATTTCTTTACTGCCATAAAACCCAGACAAAAATAAAAGTGTCTAGATTACTGCTGATTGTTCCAAGCATTGGAGTTACTTGTCCTTTAAGACTAAAAGAGATGCTTCATTAAAAAAGTTCCAGAGATAGACGTAACTTGTTTTATAGTCAGCTGACACTGTTGTATCTGTGTCGTAGAGAATCTATGTATCACATCAGAAAAGCTTATAGGAGTATCTAGACTGTCAGGATGCTACAGCTATTTTACTGATCACCATGACTGAAGCTGCAAATACTCACCTTTGGATTAACTATCAAAATACTATGTACATTCGAAACATATTTAACATACTGTGATATTCAGAGAGATGTCCCGTATTTTATGTTAGATTTGCTCACACTCACTTCAAAAGGAGTTTTGCATTCAGAGGGTGCAGTACTACACTGGCAATTTTAATCTTTTCTAAATGCTAAAAGAAGTGGTTTTGGGGAAAGGAAAAAAAAAAAAGAAAAAGCAAAGGCATCATATATAAAGTCTTTTTTGCTTGCTTTTATATTATTTTGCTTACATTAAAGCAGAGTTTCCAGCAAAGCTTGAGTGAGAGGAGAACCAGAAATGAGTTTTGTAGCTACAAATACTTTAATTAATAATGTACATACAGTTTTAATGATTTAGATATCTATGTAAAGATCATCACTTTTCATTTCTCAGTTACTAGCTGATCTAGAAAATAGTCCAATGTTTGCAGACGACCTAGAGTGTCAGAAGCTTCTTATGGAGGCTATGAAGTACCACCTTCTACCAGAGAGACGGTCCATGATGCAAAGCCCTCGAACTAAGCCTAGAAAATCTACAGTGGGTGCACTTTATGCTGTAGGAGGTATGGATGCCACTAAAGGTAAGTTCAGAGATTAACTTCATCGTATTAGTTTAACTGTATTAATGAATTGTATTACAGACACCCAGACAATATATGACAATTATTTAAAGATTTGTTAGGAAAACAGCAATTTAGGGATGAAGAAGAAAAAAATAATCACAGAACACAATCCTATGTATTAGATGTTTTTTCTTCTTGCAAGAATCATGTTTCAAAATGATGTACATACATCTTGAAATGCAGACTAAAGAATTTTGACTCGGTGATCTTAAAATTAAGTTTTGTAACAATTTGTGCATATAGTTTGATTTCACAATTCATAATAAAAACATAATATTCAGAAGATTTTCACATTCATTTAATGTTGGTTTAAAACCCTGTGCTCCATTTTTTGACAAAGTTAGAAGGCTGGAAAAATTTTGAAAGAAATTAAAATAAACCCAGAAAGCATTACTGAACTATATAGAACACTTAGCTAAAGCTTCTCAATCCTTACTATAAAATTTTAGCTGGAAAGATTTGTACTTTATCAGGAGTGCAACAGTAAGTGGAGCTTTTTTTCAGGACTTCATGCACAAGTTTTATTCAGGTTTGTAGTTGAAAGTTAAATGTTGTAAATGTATTCCAGTTTTTATTATGTGATTTTCACAACTAAAATCAGTTTACAGCTTTATATATTACACTATTCTATTTACTAAGGTGCGTATTATATGATTTTCTACAGGAACCTTAACTTCAAACCCACAGCTTGGAGCCAAAGAAGTCTAATTAGTTTAAAGTCTAGTAACTTGCTGAACAGTATTACTTTTAGTGGTGTGAGTTCACGTTTAATAGAAATACAAAGAAGAAAATCCATTTCATGGTTTGCAAAAAGTTGCCGATGACTTATTTTTGTTGTATGAGAGGTCTTACAGTGCTACCTTACTGTCTCTGTTCAATCAAATCAGGTGCAAAATACACATTCATCACTATCACATCATGAAAACACTCATTCCTAGGATAATTCAGCAAAATGAAGTTAAACCTTAGCAATTAGTATAGTTTCATTTAAGATACTGATTATTTATGAATTATAGCAAACAACCAAGAATTCAAGGTAATCTTTAAATTAACTTCTACCAAAATAAAAATAAATCTTTCTAATAGGTTTTTTCTCAGTAAAGGTTATGCAAAGAAAGGGCTATTTCAGTCAACATCTGCACTTCCTTTTGGTGCCTCTTTTACTTATTACCTTGGAACAAAGCCAATTGTTTGAACTTTTGCCTTTTGATGGTTAAGAAGAACTGCACTTCCTCTCTTTCCTGCTGTCCTCTACAGCTCTGACTCATACTTTGAGTTTGTGCTGGATTGTAAGATAAAGGAAACTGCACCTAAAAGGCGATTCACTGGAAGAACAACACTGGCGCAGCAACCTCCCCTGGCAATAATATGCTTTCTGTGATAAAGAAAACTGTCAGGGAATGCCAGGTTTGGCTTTGTGCTTATCTCAGGTGGTATATGAAGTCAAATCTCAACTTCAAATGATCAAAAGAAGATCAAAGAGCTACTCTGGGCTGGTATTTTGAAAAACGTGAATGTGCCTAAACCACATTTAACTTCCAAAAGCTACCTTCCAGCCTCTGTAAAAATTGCAGCCCGCAGGCTATGTATGAACACACTGTATATCTTAAAGTATTTTTCCTTTTAGTTAGTGTGCAAGTAACTTCTTTTGAAGCTAAGAACTTTAGGGTACTCCCATATTAGCATAGAATAAATGAGAAGAAATCAAAGCAAAATAACTGACAAAATGGGAAGAACAGTCAAAGTAATCCAGTTACTCAAAGTAAAAGAGGACAGGAAAGGGGAAAAAGTAGAATTTCTTTTGTTGCAGACGGATCTAGTAGCTTCTTTCAAGTCTATGCCTCTGGAAAAGCATACAGATGAGAGAAGATATATCCTGAGATAGGCTCTAACTTCACTAGATCACTTGAGTGTATCAGATGATCTCTAGGAGACCTCTAAACCAAATGATACCTTTCTTTTCTCCTTTATTGCATGGTTGTTTTGCTGTTGTAAATAATTCTTCAGCCATTACCTACCTATTGTAATTCTCAAAACACTACTTCTCTAGTGTCAAATCCCAGTCAAGGAATAGACAAGAAATCAGCTCTGTTTTTCTCATCTTCAGCTGAGCTGAAGCTGAGCTCCAGGGTGCACAGTATACGCAACTGGCAATTGCCTCTTCTAGTGTGGTTGCTACTCAGCCATCTCCCCACTGTGCTAAATCATTTCTCAAAGAAGCAAATATGGCTGCTAAATGACTGTCAGGACGCAGTGCATGGAAAAGTGTCCATTTTGAATGGCAGAGAGCTAGGGCCTTATGAATAATTGCAGCAAAAATATTACTAGAATTTCAGTGACCTGAAAAAATTGAAAATACAACTTACATGTTACAGCAGACAAGCAGTTACTGCAAGGCTGCTGCAAAGATGAACCTCGGTGAAGCTACCTGAGGGAACCAAATGCGTACTCACACACAACACAGTCTACTGCCTGTCACTATCATAAAAAGGAAATATCCAAACTATTCATGAAGATGCATGCCCAAGTCCTAAGACACACAGACACATGGGTACATTTTCCATTTCTGATATGACTAATGGTTGGAGTACAAACATATTTAAAGAGTACGTAATTGTGAGGTACTGCATTCGTAAGAAATATTTAAAAAGCCACAACTACCTACATGGTGTTTAAGTGAGTAACAGGTTTAACGTATCTCCAAAATTTTCAGTATTAAAAAATCTGCTGGCATGTAATTCTGCATCTTCTTGCCTCCAGTTAATTCTCATAGATTTGACAATCACATATGCATGCAACTAATGCAGCTTTCTCATTAGGTTCACATTTCATAAATGAAGGTCTTGGGGAGCCACTGTTGAAGTCCACACACAGAATTAAAACATGATAATTTAATACTGTTTTTCAGTGTGCTGATCACTGACTGCTGGGTCATGTTTTTTACAGGTACCACTACAATTGAAAAATATGATCTTAGGACTAACAGTTGGATACAAATTGGTACTATGAATGGTAGACGATTACAGTTTGGAGTTGCAGTAATTGACAACAAGCTCTATATTGTGGGGGGAAGAGATGGTCTGAAAACATCTAACATTGTGGAATGTTTCAACCCTATCACCAAAGTTTGGACTATAATGCCTCCTATGTCAACACACAGGCATGGCCTAGGTAAGAGGTGCCCTTTCCTTGTAAGTACATTACATACGATCAATTTTGGTAGATGCAAACACTGCTGACATAATTTCTTAAGCATTTAGTAACATGTGGACATATTTGTAGAAGATATTTTTCAAAGACAGAGTTGCCTACTGCCTTGATTTAATGACAGTGATATTTATTAGTATTCACTGATTCTTCTATTGCGCTGGTCTTCCAAAGTTAATTTTGCTTTTAGAAAGTTACAAAAAACAAGCAACAGTGAAAATAATCAACTCTTTGTCCAACTGAACAGTCTAGAGAGATGTCTGTGATACAGTGACAGTCTGATTTAAATTTTTTTTAAATTATAACTTAAGTTGAGCCCACCGGTACCAAACACCTGTGAAAATCAGATCAGAGAATTACCCACACTGAAGAAAACACTGGGGTAAGGAAATAAGTACAACTTCACTAATTTTAATGCTGTAACTACGAGAAGTTTTAGAGAGCTCTGCCATGGCTTAGTACCTATGGCTCTTTTCTGCACAATATTCCTTAACATTATTCACAGTGAATGAATACGTATGAAATCCAGAATTCAATTCTGGAAGTATTAAAAAATAAGGATAAATTTACAGTTAAAACGACTGTAAGGGAGGGAATACGATGATTTCTGAAATATTTCTATATCACAGTTCTTATGAAAAAGCTGGCTTCTCTTAAGTTTACAGGAACAGGTACTGCTTGAAATCCTTGGTAAGTTCAAATGATAGGGAATACTTTTATTTGAATGAATAATAGAAAAAGGTTGATCGCTACCAGCTAGTGTGTCAGATTTATATAGCAAATACTATTAGGTAGCAGAGGAAGAGATAACAAAGCAGATTAAATATTTCTCATTGAAGTCTTTATACTTACCAGCTGCAGGGGCATAATTCTGTCCAACAAGTTGGTCACAGTGATAAATTTGAGTACCCAAAGTCAGCCTTTTATGTGTGCATCAGCCTGGTTTGCAATGGTGCTTTACAGCTACAGCTCCTACTAGCTTCAGTGTGATTTTGTGGAGACTCAACACTCTTGTAAAAAATCAGGCCATGTGTATTTAGGCCCAAAAAGACAGATTTAGAAAACTTCTAAGCAGACAGATGCAAACATTTTGCTTTACCCAACAAAGGAAGCAAACAGCAGCAGCAACGGCAGCTCCCCAAAGCCCTTCTCTCCTGAGAAGGGTATGTCCACACAGAGCTTTGCAGAGACAGCCAAGTGCACTCTCCTGGGCCTCAAGGACAACTGATGGAAGCCAGCTCTATCCAAAAGTGTGTTCGCCTTACAGGCATTAAAATGTTACGGTACTTAGCTCGTAAGGACAGCCAGCTACCCCCCACTCAGGCTTTATGCTGGCCAGACTACAGAGCTTCAGCTGGCTCAGAGTAAGGACAGGTCATTGATTTGGGCATATTTTTCCTTGCCTGGCTCAACCTTCGCCTTTCTTTAAAAGAACAGTAATGCTTCTCACTTAGGGTCTCAAATTCATTTCCAAACAAGGTCAACAGAAGTGGAAGAGACAAAAGTCCAAGAAGAGAACATCAGAACTAAAGCAGATTTCCTCTAAGCTTTTGGCAAATGATAATTTTATTCAGAACAACACCGTATATGAAGTATTTTGTTTATCTTTGTTTATTCTGCCAAATGATAAGGCACCTTTTAGATAGTTTAATACCAGCTTAAATTGTTCATATAATATGCAGAATTAAAGTATGAAGTTAATACACTATTGGTAACTGAAATTATTAGATATTGTGATTTGTCCCTAATTCTGTCTTTTAAGGAGTAGCAATGCTTGAAGGACCAATGTATGCTGTTGGTGGCCATGATGGATGGAGTTACCTTAATACCGTAGAAAGATGGGACCCACAAGCACGGCAATGGAATTACGTTGCCAGCATGTCAACCCCTAGAAGCACCGTAGGGGTTGCAGCATTAAATAGCAAGTATGTCAACAGGAAAACTGCTCTTTGGTTTTTCGTTTGCTTCCTTCCTTGCAAATATAGTTTCTTAAATTTTCTTTTCAATCATATAGTAATTAACCACCTTGAGAAAAAGAGAAAATACAATGCACAACAAGAACGGAAAGCTTTTCCTCTGTTGTGTGGTAAATTGTTTTCAAACTTGCAGTCATGTTTTAAACATATTTCATCCCTTTTAAGGTACAACAATTTGAAAGTGTTATTACATGCATATCAGAATTTTACCTAGAATATAACTTATGGGATAAAAGATCAGCTACTTTAAAAAAATATTCCTAGTTTATATTTACACCCTAAAATCACAGTTTGTAAGGGCGCACCAATTGAATGAATACATACAGAAACAGCCATTCCTCTGTCATTTTACACCTCCTGCATGCAGCTACATTGCCAATGTAAAAGCTCACAGTCACGAATAACTTTTAAATGTTTAAAAATACATGTTGTGTTCAATGAAAGGTAGACAAGTTTCATAATTAGGCATGGAATAAACAGCCTCCTACAAGTCTTACCCTACCCAGATTTATTCTGCCCTTCATCTATTGCTTAAATGCACTGAGATCATGTGCTCACTGTATAGTGGTTTTCCCACAAAGATTTCCAAAACATATTTAAAATTCTCCTAAGACACTAAAGTCACTCAAGCCCTTTTACATGGGAACAGACACATGTATGAATACTGTGTAGCCTGCAGTTAACAGCGTGTTAACACCTTATTGTATGTTCCTATTAGAAAGTAGGAGGAATAATTCATAAAGTAATGCCAAACAGAACTCCGTTTTCCTTCTTCAGCACCAGAGTCTGGTGCTAGAAATACAAAATACCCCTGTAACAGGCCCCAGGTTCTGTTGGAGAGGATGGCTTCAGCGCACCTTCCTTCTTATTTAAATCTGGGGAAAGCTCTTAGCAATGACAGTTTGTAGGGCCCTGGAATACTACAGTTGCAGACAGACCACTGCATTTATATCGAAACTTTATCACTGGCTTCCCTGTTTACTTCTTAAATTCCAGAAAAAGAAGAATAAGGAGCAGAAACAAAGATGTCAGGAAACTAGTATTTGCAAAAGCAAAAACTTCTTCACATACAAGTCAGGGTTTTGCACTCCAACACAGCACAATTTTAATGACTAACTCAAAAGTCCAAGAAAGACAGAACTGCCTGTTCGAGTTCCTTTGTACCTCAGAGGAAATGTTCTCAGCATAAACTTCACCAGAAACTCGTGTTGGTACCTTCCACAGCAACATGCAGGAAACCACTTTGTCAAAGAGGAAATCCAGCCTGATCCTGACTCTGCTCTCAATCACTCCTGATAGAAGCTGTCTCCAGCCTGGCTTAAATCATGTCTGTTAGCCTAGTGATGTAATTTCTGGCATACCAGGGGAAGCCGAGATCAAATGTCCATCATTCGGTGCTACTGCTATGGTCTAACCAAGCAGAATGCTTCTCCTTTTCCTGCTTCCCTAAGTCACACTGTATTTTTTTTTCTTTAAACCTGACCAGAAAAGACTTTAATTTCTGTAAATACCACTTTTTGACCACTTTTGGACTTGATTTCCTTAGAGAATGGGACACACAACCATGTTTCTGGACATGTTACAGAGAACAAAAGATCCCAACCACTCTGTTTGTATATACAGTGACTTCCTCTCCCTGTGAAAGCTGTATAAACAAGTAGTCTGTATCTAATGGCATGATGTGAAAAGAAAACAATCAAATCCTCAAGTTTTCTATGGGTCAGGCAACAAACTGCATAGCTGAACTCAAGCCTGTCTTCCATTCACAAACATTAGAAGAGAGTGCTAGAAATTCTGTATTATTTTAAGAGTGGTCAAGAATCTTCTAGTTAAATCATACACCAGAGCAGTCTGAAAGTTTCTCCAGCCACTGGAGAAAAACAGGCACTTTTGAAACAAAATTCAATTGATCTGGTTTAGATGATTTTGGAAAAGTTCACATGTTCCCTAGATCTCTAATTACGTTCACTAAGTAAGTTCAATTTCATGGCAGTAAGTATTAGGCAGGTTTTAAAGGGACAAGAACAACTGGCATACTCAACATCTGAACACCTCTGCTGTTTTTACATCCAGTATGTATGCTATCATTAGGCTAGTAGCGTACAAGTTAGCTTGAAACACAAGAGAAATTCAGGCTTTGTAAAATGCCTTGACAAAAAGCAACAGAACTCCTGTGCTTCTTAACGTGGATTTCCATCATTTGTTCTTAGATGTTATCCCAACATCAGCTAGTTTAAATCTCCATTTTTGGTCATTTGCTGAGTACCTTTAGACTGAGCAGAGAAGTTACCTGTATGGTAACATCTGTCCAGAAGATCTTCTTAAATACAAACCCTGAGGAAACAATATTTAGTATATTTTTGATATATGTTTTTGTTATATAATGGCATTATTGAAGGGTTTTTTTACATACAATAGCATAGGAAAAATGCTTAATGCAATACACTAAGATGTCAAATACTCCATAAACCTGTCATATGGAATACTACCCATATATTTCAAACATATGTAGCATCTTTCTACCAAATTCCATATATAGCTCACATTTAAAGAAGCTGATACGCATTTTAAAGGTTAATTTTCATATAATACTGTTTGAAAATATACACTGCAAAGGAAGAATGTACCTTCCTTCATATAATATGCAAAACGCTTTGTGTAAGGAAAGTTCCAGAGTGTAGCTGTCAGACAGCAAATAATGAGCCTAAAGATAATTTTAAAGTGGTTTGAATGAATAAAATTCCTATTAAAATGACAGTCTAAAGACTGAAATTGTTTGCCGCCTTCTGTGTAATTATCCCAGACTATATGCTGTCGGTGGACGAGATGGGAGCTCCTGCTTGAAATCAATGGAATGTTTTGATCCACACACGAACAAGTGGAGCATATGTGCTTCCATGTCCAAAAGAAGAGGCGGTGTCGGTGTTGCAACATACAATGGGTTTTTATATGCTGTGGGAGGTCATGATGCACCTGCTTCCAACCACTGCTCTCGACTTTCTGACTGTGTAGAAAGGTAAGGAGTTCATTTTTTAATTTTCCTTTTCTTTTTTTAAATACATTCCAGGAAGGAAATATTAAATAACCTATAGCAGCAAAGGAAATCTTTTCACAATTGGAATGTTACGTCTGCAAAACGTTACACTTTTTAAAATAGTATTTTGAACAGAGTAACTGATTTCCAATGCACTTGTGGTAACAAAAAACCTTCAGAAACAAATTCTCCCCAGCTCCTTCTCCTGTTTGAGCTGCCCAGGAGCCAGGTAAAGACAAGTCAACAAGTAAGACACATACAACACGTGACCTTTCTGTTTCTCAAGTGCCAAAACCCACGCTTGGGCTACTTGCATCATATATTGAAAGAACTAAAAACTTTTCAGCTGTTTCTTCCTCCAAGAACTCAGGTGATATTAAGCAAAATGTCAATGGGTATCCATCAACACTGCTGTCATTTGGGGACAAGAAAGGCAAAGTTAGCAAGCATTCATCTCCCTGTTGTGATAACAATAGTTCAGTTCTGTTCCCAGTTAGATGATGTAAACCTGGAGCTACCCTGGAATTCACTTGAATTCACAGTGGAAGTTGACTGGATACAAATCAGAAATAAAATCAACATTAATGCAAAATACTACCATGCATTTTGTATTAAAACTTTGATCAATCCTATGAGATATTTAACTGATTTTATAGTAAAATTCCTGAAAACTGAAGTTCTGACAGGAAAGAGAAATCTTTAAGGAGTAAGAAAAAAGAATATACTGAAATTAACTTTGCTGAGTCAACTGATGGCCATGTTATCATAGTCTCAGGCCTCATTTATGTTGAAAAAGCACTGATTCTTTAAGCTGATAGAAATGAAGAGACTGTAATCAGAAAGTGAAAATATGGGCATTTTTAATGTGCTTGAAGACCCCTCTGGTGGCCAAATATACACATTACTCAATTACCTATACTACCTCATGGTGTAAACTGAACTACAGTGTAGCAGAAAATAAGCAAATATCAGTCATTTAAATTTGAAATGTGTTTCTACTATTTATTTTTCTAACTTTTATTATAAAAAATCCTAGGTATGATCCTAAAACAGATGCTTGGACAACAGTGGCCCCCTTGAGTGTACCTCGGGATGCAGTTGGAATTTGCCCTCTGGGGGATAGATTATATGCTGTTGGGGGCTATGATGGCCATACGTACCTGGATACTGTGGAGTCTTATGATGCTCAAAATAATGAATGGACAGAGGTAACAGGAAGAATTGCCTAAGAAATGAGAATTTTTCATGCAGCTGGGAAGAATTCTGTCCAAATAACGGACAAACAAAAAATATTATGTTGCAAAATTAGCACTGGTTTTGTGAAAAATGCTGTATTAGGATGCGGTAATAGTGTAGTTGGGCTGTACAAAATACTGGTTACCTCTCCTGTGTAAAATTTTTCAGATTAAAGGGTAGAGGCAGTACATGGGCTTGTGACCCAGGTCGCACAAATCATTTTGTACTTGAAAGTGCATAAATTTGCAGCTGTTGGAGCTGGCATGTGTTTGTGGGCAATGCCCTCTACTGGAGACACTTCCAAGTTTTTATGTTTATGGCCATCACCATTGAGACCAAGAGGAAATACTTTTAACTGTCAAAATGCTTTTGTAGCTACACAGTTTATGTTTTTGGAACACAGGATACAAGTGTCTTTCACAAAAGTTGAGAGCAACACCACCAGCCTACACTCCTCTACCTCTCAGAGGCTGCTGAAGCCTTTCTCCAAAAGCCCAAACTGCATTTTTAGAGTCCTGGTTAAATCTTTCTTTATATATATAT